GATCTTGATCGTGCATAGTACGCGGTTAAGGCACGTATGATCTTGAGGAGGTTTGCTGTCTAGTTAAATCTGGTCTACGGTTCGCTATTATGGTTGTAACGATCCGGTCGATCCCCACCGATAGCACTTTAGATTGGAGGATGCTAGTTGGTAGATTTGTTCTCGATCAAGCACGACCTTAACTGTTTGCTATGCCTGTATCGGCTAAATAGCCGATTGCCTATGCGTTAACGCCTACAGTGTATGATTCTATTAAATGTGGATAGATCTGTTTACTTTAAAGGTTTGATTTGTTGTCTTTATCATGGCTGCATTGATCCGGTTGAACCCCACTATTAGAGATAGTAGGTTAGGTCTGATGAGTCCAAAGGTTTGTCCATGTTAAATAGTCGATTGTTCGCATGTTGTAGTCCCTTTTCACCCAAATCGGCTATTTTAGCCGATTCACCTGAGCCTTCACGTATAGCATGTCTTTTAGAAACCCTGTCGAAGTATAGATGTTTCTACGGATTCTTTGATTTTAGTTTGTTATTATCATCATAGCGGCCATCGATCAGGTCAAACCTCACTGTTGATGGTAACAGATTAGATTCAGAGCATTTGTAGATTCATTCGTATTAGAAAGTCGATTTGTTCGCATGCTATATCCGTTCTCGTTAGATTCATCGGCTAAAGGATTCACATTGGTAATATCCACCTAGCTGATGATCTCATTTACATCTACATGTACTGTACATGTCGATATAAAATCAATCGCTACCCACGATCTTTACAGTCCGTAATAGCCGATTTCTATGCGTATCGGTTATTTAGTCGATTTTCCCACCTGGTTGCTCCCGAAGCGGCACACTTGGAACTATCTGGGCAAAGACCGACATGTTCCACCTTAAATTACTGATAAACTTTCTCTCCTTATCAATTGCAGGGTCAAATTGACTGGCACGTCTTGGGAGGAATTCGCAGGATCGGTTACCCCTACGTTGAAGCCAAGCGGATCTCCAGCCTTGCTCCATCAAGCAGATCCTTCCAGCTTGCTATGTGTCGACATTTTCATGCCGACACCAACATAGATCAAGAATATAAATATAAGAGTAAAGTCTTACAAAGAGAAAGGAGATAAATACCATACCATACCTCCTAGAAGACCTGATCAGGAACCCAGAGCCTAAACTCTCTACTCATTCTAACTCCCAACTACACTATCACAACTACATCATGAGAGAGTGGAGAAGCTTCTTGCTTGTGTTGTGTGTATTGAATGAGGGGAAGTGAGGGGGTATTTATACTAGAGGTGAAGTGCTTGGAGCCACCCAAAGTGCCATGTCATCAATCTATGTGATGGAGCTTGTGAACCATAGGATGAAACTGACTTTAAATCAAGGGCTCGAATGCTCCAATGGTTGAGATTCCATGCATGCTTCCATGCTAAGGCGGTGGCAAGGTTGGTAGAGCTTGTGGGGTGGTCGGCCGACCAAGGGGGTTGATTGACCCCCTATGATAGGTGGGCCACCCCTCCTTACATGTGGGACCTCTTGCATCTTCCTTGTTGGGTATGCAACACTTTGGTGGATCGACCGCTCTCTCTGGTCCCTAGGCCCTCCTCTATCTTCTAGAAGGTGGGTGCACTTGTCATGAGTGGGTGTGGGTGCAAGGAAATTTATTCACGTTGGACTCTTTGTCATGATGAGTCCGCGATCTATGTGCCTTCATCTTCCACCATTGAGAAGAAACACAAGCTTGATCCAAGGGTTGATGTTGGCTTGGGAGTGCTTGGCATGGATCATGGTGGCTTGGGATGGCTGGTGGGCCCATAGGGAGGGTGAGCCGACCACCCTATGTGGGTCCTACCATCTCATCTTGCTCCATCTAGCTTGAATCTGCATCAAATACTCATGGTACATGTGGAACTGGTTATTTGATAAAATATGCTCATGGTGTACTTATCTCCTTTCATCTTGAGGCTGTTGATGGTGATTTCGAGTATAGAAAAGTATGGAATTTTCACCGTCAACAATTGTCACCATCACGCGTCGTCTATTAGTTTTGTAATTTGGCCTTTCGGTATGGATAAACTGTGTCCTTTATTTTACATAATGTATTTTGTGATGTTCATCGTTCATCGATGTTTTAATATAAGACTACTTCAAACTATTATATTTGTCTATTGTGAGCGGTCATAGTGGGGTTTATGTGGCTGAAGCGTTTTGGTTCAGCCCCTCCTAATTTTTTCCTAGATCCATCTCTGCTTGAGGCGGCTAGATCCAGCGTCTACATAGCACATGACGCTGGCAAGGAGTGCCAGCAGCCACGGTGGAGGCCTAGGCGCGCCCCGGCTAAGGGGGGACTCGGGGAGGGTGAGGGGAGGGGAGGGGAGGAGGCAGGAGGGAAGTGGAAGCTGTGGGAGCTACATTTTATGTAGCACCACAGTGGGTCACCACCACCGCACGTCAGAGGAAGTGGTAGCAGTGGCCAGAGGGTGGCCTCGAAGGGCCCTCAGCGCTGGTGGTGGTTGGCCCCCCGAATCGCCTTGGAGAGATGACACGGGGTCGGGTTGGGCATGTTAGAAGATTTGGGATGGCCCAAATAATAATTCCAAATAAATTTCAAAGGCCCACTCACACATGCATTGTTGGAGAGAGGTGAAGGGAGAGATATTTGGAGAGAACCGTGTGGTTTCGAGCACGCCACCCATTGGGGGTTGTCTCTAGTGGCCGGGGGCTGATGGTGCCCCTTCCATCAGCTGGTGCTAGAAGGGAACTTGCGAGCGAGGGAGGATTGAGGCGGTGTTTAGGCCAACCGTAGGCCCTCGTGATTCAAGCGGTCTACCGAACCCGTAGGTTTAGGGTCGCTAAAACACGAGCACCAAGGGCTACAACCAGCTTCCCTAGGGCCGGTAGGAAGATCATTGCGTGCCTGCAGGAAGGACGGGAAGGGGCGCCCACGACGAAGATGAAGACCAATTGCCTCGAACCGACCGTTGAGACCTTGGAGGAGGTTGAGGACGAGCGTGCGGTCTTGGACGGGCTTGTCGAGGTCACGAAGAGCATCTGCCATGCCCTTGAGATTCCTACAGTAGGTGGTGATGTCTTGATCGCCTTGCTTGAAGTTGCGGAACTCCACGTCGAGATGGAGGGCGCGAGTCTCGCGATTCCCGCGAAACTGGGACTCGATGGCGAGCCACGAAGTGCGAGCAGTATTGCCCTGCTCGATCACAGTGTCGGCAAGGGCATCGGTGATGGTGCCGGTGATCCACGTGCGGACGACACAGTCCATGCGGACCCAGTCCGGGGAGGTGGGCGCGGTCACGTCGGATAGCACGTGACTCTCCAGGGAGTAGCGGCCGACGACGTGGAGGAGCGACTCACGCCACCGACCGTAGAAGGTGGACGAGACGTCGAGGGTGAGTGGCACGAGGAGGCGGATGTTCTGCACAGCCACAGCCTGGGCGTGCAGATTGATCAGGGCAGCAGCTTCGTGTTGTAGCAAGGCATCCCGGAGATGCGTACCGTCGCCGACCACGGAGACGTGATCGTCGTTGCCGAAGGCGTCGCTGGCGTCATCATCGCTGCCGGGAAGCGGCTGGGTCGCGGCGCGCTCGAGATCAGCGCGAGCCAGGGCGGCACGGAGACGGGCGTCGACGGCGTCGCGCTCAGCCTGGGCGACGGCGGCCACGCAGTCCGCCTCTGCGACGCGGGCGAGGGCGGCGTCGTGGCGAGCCTTGGCCACGCACGCACGTTCCGCCTTTGCGAGTCGCGCGGCGTCGTCCCGCGTGCGCGTCTCCTTAGCAGCAGCGGCGGCAGCAGCCGAGGCGTCGGTGACGGCGCCTGAGGCCACGCTCGAGGGCTGCGGGGGGCTGTGGAGCGAGCGGGGGAGCGGATGGAGGTGAGCCAGCCATGGCCGGTGCGGCGGAAACCGCGCACACGAGAAAGATCGGCGGGCGGGTGCGGAAGGAAAGTCTAGACTGTTGATACCATGAAAGCAATTAGGATTGCGTGGAATCATAGATGAATTGATTGGAGAGACCTATGTACATATATATATATAGAAGAGGAGATCTGGTGGCTTATAGAAATAGGACCTGCCGAGATCTCCTCCTGATATCTCTCTAACCATATATAGGGCTGGCCGGCTATACCAGGCACACACCCAACATTTACACACGCACAACACATATATATTCTAACAAAAACATTCAAAATATATCATGAATTATAAGAGATTATAAGTGAATTAATTCCTCTACTTATTTGTTACAGTCAACAAGCCCTAGTTACATGTGTATCTATCATTGAAGTCTATTATCAACCCAACCATCTGGCTCAAATACGGTAAGCAAAATATCTTCTTAGGTTAAGTAAGGATTATATCCATCATTTCCTTTATCTCATAGTCTGTCCTATATAATTTCTATGATAACATTATATTTTTGTCTGCTGGCACCTTGAGGTACAAGCAGAGCAGAAGTTCGAGAGCAATAAAATAGCATGACTATATGTGTGTAGCAAGACAGAAGCATCCATTTCAAACAATATTTCACTTGCCTACCGTCAAATCAGCATGCACGATAAAGCAAAATCATTGTTCTTATAATAAATTTATTGTTATGATAGGCATAGATTCGTAAAATATACATCCAGAGTTGACCAATGTCACCACCCATTTCATCATCCTACTGTCTAGACTCCAATCTAATCCAATCCTTATCAGAGGCCCTTGCCAAGTCCCCTGACATAGACATGTTTAATATTTCAATTAGCATCTTGCCTCCATGATTGCAGATTATAAAAAGCACAAAACCAAGTGTATCATAAAAAGATGGGTTTTCCCCAATCAGAATTAGATGGCAGAAACAAAAGTTTCGATTTCCAGCAACAAAAATATTGAAACTACGCCTAAGACCTATCTAGCACGTACAATTCTTGGTATAGATGCCCAATATCATGGCAGGAAACAAGTTGAACTAGTAGCCGGCGTGTCATCTTGGGCCACCAGCGGTGAGCTCAAACCTTTTCGGCGGGAGCCTCGACGACGTCACGCCGGCAAAGCGGGCAGGTAGCGTGAGAGCGCAGCCACAGGTCGATGCACTCGACGTGGAATAGGTGCCCGCACGCCGGCAGCAACCGCACCGTCTCCCCGTCCCGCACCACGGCGAGGCAGATGGCGCACTGCGCCCACCCGGCGCCAGCTGCGGCGCCGGCGCCCCTCCGGTAGGCGAGCATGGGGATCGCCGACAGCGCGGACGGCGCCAGCCCGCACCGGCTTCTGCCGTTGGCAGCGGTGGCTCCGGCGCCGTTCGCGGCCACGGCGGCGGCCGCGTACCCGTTGGCGAAGGCGCGGCGCAAGCAGATGGCCACCGTGAGGACGATGAGGGCGGAGGCGGAGCCGAGGCAGACGAGCACCACCGTGTCGCACACCCGGTAGCTGCCGCCGGCGGCGGCAGCAGCTTCCATCGCGTCCGCCGGGGCGCCGGTGGGACCGTAGGACGACATGGCCGGGCAGCTGGGTGCTTCGTGGTCTCGTTGGTTGGTGAGGCACGGCAGTCAGGGCCACCGTGAATCGCCCTGGTGGCCTGGGTTTAGTAGACACGGGCTTTAACTTTTGAGGGTTTGATGTGGCTTTTTTTTCTCCAAAACACGGACAGTTACCCGTTTCCTGTTTTTTTTCAACTAACAGGCACTCGGGCAGGAGCGGTGCCCACCGTTCTTTAAAGAAAAAAAAAGCCCATGTTAATAAAACGAAAATACTCCCTCCATCCTTAATTATAAGTCATTCTAATTTTTCCTAGAAAGTGAAAACATTGACCAAATTTATATAATAAAATAATAATATTTATAATGTTAAATAAGTATCATTGTTTTTTCATAAATTATATTTTCATAGTATACCTATTTGATGTCATAAATCTTTGTAATTCTTTTAATAACTTTGCTCAAACTTGAGATGATTTGACTCTCCAAAAAAGTTAGAATGATTTATAATTTGCAACGGAGGGAGTACTTGGCAAGGGTGTCCGGACGATCAACTTTCCATCGGTCCGACGTTGCATCCAGTGTTAACAAGTTTCATCACTTGAGCTTCTCAGCCCAAACACACATGCTGATTCACTCGCTCGTTGTCCACTGTGAGGACTCGCTTGTTGTGTCGCCGCCTCCACCCACATGCCTTCCTCATCGTCGTGCCCATCCATCTTTCTCCTTCACCCAGTCGTTCTGTGCGCTGCCACCTCTACCCGCATATCTTCTTTGTCGTCATGTCCGCGCATCTTCCTTCTCGGTGATCCCATCAACCTCTGCTACCTTCCATGAATGGCCTTACAAAGTATGCTCTGCACCTCACTCTTCGGCTCCGGGGACTCAATTGCTGCTATCCTCGTGCTCCAAGTCTAACAACTTGTGCTGCTCGCCTGCTCCGAGAGGCCCAAATCCACACCCTCCTCTTTGGATTTCTTGAGCTAAGGTTGCTTGCCAAATGATTTTTGGATGTTGCATTTGTTACTTTTCTATGTTGCATCAGAAGATTTCTTATATTTCTGTGACAAATAATTCACATGTTTCACTAGATGATCTATTATGTTGGCGCAACAAAACTAACATAGTTACGTAACTGTTTGGTGTTGTAGTAAACGATGATTTTTCATATTGATTAGAGATGTCTCATCTCCTTTATTTCTCATGTTGATTAGAGATGCCTCATCTAATAATTTATTTTCATGTTGCAGTAACTAGTTGTTGGATGTGTTGCACTTTATTGACTTTCCATGTTGCAACAAACAAACTGAGATCTTTGAATTGATAATTCCTCATATTGCAGAAACAAAACTGAGATGTTCCACTATATAATGATTGATGTTGCAGGAACATATGGTCTTTCCTATAGATTAAGGATGTCTCATCTCCTTTATTTTAATGTTGCAGTAATTGAATGTTGAATGTTGCACTTCATTGATTTCCTATGTTGCAGCAACAGATTGAGATGTTTCAGTAGATCATTTCTCATGCTGCAACAACAAAACTAAGATGTTCCACTACATGATGTTTAATATTGTGGTAATATATGATTTCTCTTCTGATTTGAGATGTTTCATCTCTTTTTTTATTGAAGTAATTGATTATATGATGCTACATTTCGTTAAATCTACGATTTGAAAAAGATTTCTAGAGGGTTTTTTTTATTTAATCTCTTGTGGAAGTTATTGTTGCACCTTTGACTTGCGTTGCTTCTTCAAGTGACATGTAGTTGGCCAACAATGTTGTCCTCATAGAAGTGAGTTAAAGAGACAGAAGCGACTATACGGATATGCAAAGCGCTGTATTAAAAAGAAATTAATAATTAACGGGGGCACCTATGGGGAAAACTTTTTTGTACGGTGGACTAAACGTCTGATGTATGTGCTATGTCTGGACATCCGAGTGGTAGCATTACCAAAGCTCTACACGTATAAGGGTACACAAGAGATTTTGAACCCTTACAATAGTAATTGCATTAAACAAAGCAACAGGAAAACTAGAGAAAACGCAAGATAAAAAAGACGGTTCAATTCACTCCGTGAATTAGTCGCTGAATTTGAAAGACTCCCTCGAACTTCAATATTAGACAATATACACATATGAACTTTTAAAACCAGACAAAATGCCCCTTTCACCATTTCAAAGTGGTTGCTTGGGTGGTTTTGCTGACGTGGCAGTGCAGCCCACATGTAATTTGGTCTCTCTTTCTCTTATATAAAAAACATAACTTTTTCATAAGAAGTTGTATGAATACATACTTTATATTTTAATTTACCAGACTTATTTGATTTTTTTTTATTTTTTCCAATAACCTCATATGTTAACATAGTCTATATCAAAGTTGTATTTTTTAATAAGATCTACAACTTTGTAGTTTACAGTTTTTTATTTGAAATCATTTACAAGTGCAAATAATCATTTTAGTTCTCTAATTTTGAATTTAATTTGTTTTGATTTTTTTCGAACAACCTCATATGTTGATGTGGCCTACATCAAAGTTGTAGCTCTCAACATGATCTATAAGTTTGTAGTTGATAATATTTTTATCTGCGTACCATGTTCTTGCCTACCCTGTATGTTGTTGATGACTTCATACACTGTTTGATTTTTACGGTTGAAAACTCTATAATTTTGTTCTCTCCATACCGCCCTAATTGTTAGGATTACTGGGGATTTTGTCCTACGCCTAACGATGAAAGGCCACTTAAAGGACAATGAGTATGCTACACTAGCATAAATAAATCTACTTTGTACAACCAAGATATCATGCAAGTAGGAGATGATAGATTGTTATTACTAGAAGAGCAACATAGTGAAAGAATGATTGGAGCAGCTCGGTCCAACGTTGTGCGTCAATGTAGTGGAACATGATCGTCAAAATATCTCTATATTTATGATCCTTGAAACATGATCATCAATCAATACAAGTTCTTGTCTATAAAATCTTTATTGTCCTGCATAATGGCATAAGACTGGGGATCTTTTGAATAAAACTATAAAAACAAAGGGCTTCACGAATAAGTCACATACTTGCCAAAAAATGTAAAAATGATAATTCAAGGTTGAATAACACTTTATTCGAAACACATAAACATAACATGCCATACAATCATCTCCCACTCACATTGTAGTCAATCATGTAAGTATCTAATGCCTATTGCACTTGTGTCGTGTTTCTCATGCTTTGGTCATAGAAGAAGCTTCATCAATGGATCAACGACATTCAAATCCATGTGCACCCTACAAATATTCACATCACCTATATCGTTGATCTCACGAATAAGGTGACATCACTGAAGTATGTGTTTAGACTTCTGCTACGACCTTGGCTCCTTAGGTTGTGCGATGGCACCACTATTTTCACAATAGAATTCCAAAGGACTTGGTGCACTAGGAATGTTATCCAACTTAGAAACAAATATTATGGTCCAAACAACCTCCTTGGCAACTTCCGAAGTTGCGATGTACTCGTCCTCCCTGCTGGTATAATTAAATACCATCTCTAGCATGGAACTTTCCTAGCTTGCCCCAAATCCATTGAGGTAGAACACAAAATCAGATTGCTACTTGTTATCATCTCTATCGATCCGGAAGCTACCATCGATGTAACCACTTACAAACTCAACCTCATATCCAATCAGGAACATATCCTTAGTCCTTCGTAAGTACTTTAGGATATTCTTTATAGCTGCTCGGTGAGCTACATCGGGGTTAGATTGGTACTTGCCTATGTTGACGATGATTTCGTCAACATTTTGGATGGTCAAAAACGTCACAAAAGTGTCACATATGAAAGGACATAAGCCAACCATGAATGATTTTGGTTCAAATAACTTGGTTTCACATGTGCATGCTCTCTATTTGAATATAGGTACAAAGTGGATGAAAAATCAAGCTTGGGGCCCAACTTGACATGTTGGGCGACCACCCAAGTATGGCCAATTGACCATCCAAATACATCATGATGATGGGCAATGCTTCTAGAAGCTACATGCAAAAGATGGGCCTGATTGGCAAAAATTGACACGCCGGCCGATGATCATATTTTGGCCAAATCAGCTTAACTTTGGTATGGAGTGAGGTAACATTGTCCCCACCAAGAAGGTGTGGCCCACTTGTCATAGGGCTAGCATAGGGGGGTCGGCTAACCTTCCAACTTCCACCAAACCACTTCATACCCACTCAAGATCAAGAGGAGAGGCCACACAAGTAAGGGGGTGGCCCACCTGTTATAGAAATCCTACCTTTTCTATTCAAGGTACTTGAAGATTCCATTTTCTGATAAAAATGTCATAAAACCATAGTGTCACATACTCCTCAATGGTGAGAAATTTTCTACCAAAGCCAAATGCTATGTTTATACATGCTCAAAACCTTCTATTTATGCTACTTGTACTTGTGTTGAGTTTAGTCAAACCTTGTTGACCCTTGTTGAGAATTTTGTCATGTTCCCAAGATCATGATCACGTACATGCCACTTATACATGATGTTTATACACTAGAAGTACACAAAAACATGCCTTTCACATCCATCAAATAAATGCTCCAATGTTCCTATAGTGTGATCTCTCTCTAAAAAGTTCTTGCAAAAGAGACATGGGCTATGGAAAAAATGTAAAAAAAGAAAATGGACGTGTGAAAGTCCAAGCATAGAAAAAAATGATGAATGAGCAAAAGAAGGCTCATGCATTAAAAATGAGAAAAAATGATAGCCATGTCTCAAAACAATCATAAGTTATAAAGAGAGAGATCATGCTTGCTAAGGAGGAAAATAAAGTTTATCATCATGTTCCACACATGCACATCTTGATCTAGGATTATGATATTTTTCTCCTTGAATCCTTGTTTTGACTTTTCAATATATGCAATGTAAGTATGCTATCATATTTATCCCTACCCGAGCTCCACATAAACCTTTTAGAAATAGGAAGAAACAAAAGAAGACAAAACAATGCTATGCCTTGGTAAGGAATCATACACCA